TTTCTTCTGGCCATCAGCCTACCAGTGGTTCTTGGGACTACATGGTTAGTAGTGTGATATTGCTTCCCTGGAGTCAGTTAGTATAATTACACATTTTGTTCAGTCAGTCGATCATACCTGCTTTGCCTCGGTTGGGAGTTCTGGTTGGGAAGTGAGAGTTGATGCTCTCTTATTTTATTTCTGGCTGGCTATGCCTCTGGATTGACGACGTCAGACCAAGTCCTCAGTGTTTTCGGTCTAGTGCTGGTGATGTGCCAGTAAGGTGTGTTATCAGGGAAGGCTGGTTCGGCAAACTATGCAGCTAATCCAGTAAGTGGTGTTAAGACACATCCGAAGGAGTGTGTCAGCCAGTGATGGGATGCTTCCTCATTTGATGTAATCTTGTGTATAAAAGTCTGTCGCTTAGCATCTGGTAGCTGCGCACCTTGTTGAGTAGCTGCAGATTGCTCACCCTATTAAATACAGCTTTTCATTCTTCTTATCCTCTTAGTCATTGGTACATTCCCTTTATACCCCCAGGCTGATGTTCAGTCTTGAGAATGTGTCAGAGAGATATTGATTAAACAAGTCCATTTTGAGGCACCACAAACTACACGTGGCCTTGAAAAACAAAAATGATCAGGGTTATAATGAAGTAATCGTGCTTCCTAAACACTTGTCTTAGCTACTTTTAAAATGTCGTTTAGACTTTCAAACAGCTATTTACAGTATTTTATGAAAAATACCTACATATTGAATGTATAAATCATCAGTGATATTTGTGAGGTGCCTGCGCAGAGCCGAAAGGATACTAAAAGACAATACCCACTCCAGCTACAGCCTGTTTACTCTGCTGCTGTACCACCAGACGTCTTCCCTAAGGCTTTGAGACTACTTAATTCATCTTCAGCACTGTAAAATAGTTTTATTACTTATTATTTATTCACCCATCTACTGCATATAATTTTTGTATACTATGTTTGTTTTTATGAGTAGCATTAAGTGGAACTTCAACTTAATCTTGTTATACAACCCTGTGTTGTAAAATGTTAAATAAATCTACCTTGTACCTTAAATCATTTTGTATTTATAAAGATAAAATAATGTAAATGTTTTCATTTAAATCAAGACTGAGATGCCTCTGCAAAGAGAGATTTTGGGGTAAACTGTAAGTAATACTACTTTTAATATTATTTACATTCATTTAACAACAGTGAAACATTTTCATAAAAGATATATGGCACTAAGATAAGGCTATTTTATTTGCCAATCAGGTTGGATGTGATATGAGAGGACGTTGACAAATACCAGACAAGGAGAGAATAAATAGGACAAAGGCCAGGGCTACCATAAAGTGAATTATTAACATTTATTATATAATTTGTGCCAACATTTACAGTTTGTGCACATTTTATTACTGTTTATATATCTCCTATATCTCCCGTGTCGTGTATGTCCTATTTCTATCTAAAGCATTATATAACAAGTCCAAGAGCCAATAATGACATTAAATACAGTGGTCCCCCTTGACCCAATAAGCTGTCAGTGGATTGACTGTAGAGAAAGGGAGGGGCAAAAACTGAGATGACACGCCACACTTTAATTATAAAAGCAAAGGAGGACAGCTTGGTACAGCTAGCTTTACGCATTACTCTACATACACGCAGCAACAAAGATGGCAGTTTTACCTGGCAATTACGCAATTCCTTTACTTGGAGTCAGCATCTTCATTGCTACTCTAACCTACATCACCTACAAGCTGCTCAGTGATTACCTGCACAAATGGTTTGAGATGAAGCCTATTCCGCAGGTGGAAGGGACGTATCCCTTCATTGGAAATGCACTGCAGTTTAAAACCAATGCAGGAGGTAAGAAAGCAATTTATGTGCAGATTGCCAAGTCACAGACCATAAGGTACAGAGGAACACATATTATACAACATTTTAAATCAACTGGCATAAGTGATGTCCTTATTACTTCATTTCAGAGTTCTTTCGTCAAATTCAGGATTATACCCGTGAGTTCAGGGATGCACCGCTGCTTAAACTCTGGATTGGACCAATTCCATTTGTGGTTCTGTTTCATGCTGAAACTGTTGAGGTATAGTGGCGGACAACTCCACATTTATAACAGCAAGTACACAGTACGGGTGCAATGGGGGAGGGGGGGGAGTAGCGGAGTGTGTCGGAGGGACGGTAGCCGATATTATTGAAGACGCATAAACGTAACAATCTGATGATCTGTTTCTATGATCACTGAGCAGCCCAGTGTCCCAGTTTCACCAATGATAATACCCGAACACACTACGGGGTTTCACTCAATGACGCTCTTGAAAGTGACGTTTTTTTTTTTTTTTTAAATCAGTCGCTCTGCTCTTACACGCTCACTGCTCATCAGAGTTAAACATGTATCCGTGTTTTCTATCTGTTCACTGCAGCTCTTCATCGCGATGTAACCACGCCCGGCGCCAGGATGAAGTGACTGAGGGGGCAGTTAAAAATGGGAGGGGACAAATCTTTATATATGTATATATATATATCAATACACAGGGCCCTTTAAGGCGTGAAGCGCAAGGCGCAGTTGCGTTTGGGGCGTCTCCAACTCCAATTGTGCTCGTTTGACGGCATAAAAAATGGTCTGTGCGCCGGGCGCATTGTTCAAAAGGGTCGTACTTTGTCTGTAAATTAGTCATGGGTGTGTAGGGCATAACATGCAATACACCAATCAGTGTCATCTCCCATTTAGAGCCAGGTGCGCTTGTACTGTGGCGCATTGCCATTAAAGCTATGAACAGCAGAGAGGGGATATGGACATAAGTGTGGACGTGAAGTAAAAACCATCTCTGATCATGAATCCTGTGTTTCTCTACTGCTCTGCAGTTTATGAGTGATGTGTCGGAACTCTGTTGTCTGTTAACAGACAGACGCTGTCTACTCTTTGAAACGTCTAGATCCCCACTGCACTGCGTTAATATAAACTATGATGAACGGGTCGTGGGTCACATCTCTCCCCTACACTGGTTTCTTTATTTTGTGTTTAATTGACGTATGAGTGTTTTCTTTAAGGATTTACTTTCATGATTAGAGAGGCTGCTGTCAGTCATTTTAAACGTCATGAGCGCAATAAAGTCGCAACAAACATCGTGGGGTTTTTGAGCAGCAAAACAGAAAAAGCCTGAAGTTCTAAACTTGACATGACAGGACAGAGGAAACTCTCCAAAGGAAACAGAATTCAAATGTTACTTTCTGAAATGATTTAGACGCTCTGATGGAGGACTGATCAGGAGGATGGCTGTTTTACTCCAAACAGTTTCACTGGATGAACCTGGACTGTGTGAGAGCTTTTTGATTTGTAAAAGAACACAGGACATTATTAACTTTAGATCCTGACCGATCCTGTCGGCGTGTAAGATTTTAATAATCAATAAAGTTACGCTGCTGTGCCTCGTGCGTAAATACGCAGTGTCACAGTAATGCGTCCCTAAAGTAACAAAAACTATCGCTTTCTGCTGCCTCAATAGCAACGCGCCAACAATGTGCCTGACCTCACCTCATTTTAAGACCAACACTCCCATGAGTTCACAGATGGGTGCAAGTGCATTTCCTATTTAAACAACTTGGTCACTGGGCGTGCAAATTTCAACTGCAGCGGTTGGAAACCAGACACTTTCGCCGCGCTTTGTGCTGGGTGCAAGATAGGGCCAATAATCGTTTTGGTCTTTTTGATAACCGTAGGTTTTCAGCCTGCTATGCCAATTTCTGTATTTATTTTCATCCTGTGGGTGGGAAAATGTCGGTGCTGCATCATTCGTGATGATCATCCCTCCCTAAAGGTTTTCACTCTATTCAGCCCATCCTTGCTGTTGGCAGAGGAAAATTAATACAGCGTTTGTGCATGTTTACTCTGTGCAAGTGGATCGCTGTCAGATGCAGAATGAATCCAAGAGACATCACTGTCCTAATCCCCCCACCATCAGCCTCTCCTTACTGAGCAAGTCTGCATGCCTGTTTAGTAGTAGACTAAAGGTGTTGCCAGTAGCAACGCAAAATGTTTATCTAAAGTGGGAAATTAATAGTTTTAATTAGCGCGAAAATGACTGCGTTCTCTATAGATAAACTTTTACCCGCTGGCGCTTATGCAAAAATCGCGTTTTTTTTCAATCAGTCTTTATCTTCACAGTGACACCTCCACAAATCTCACCCTTCATTCAGTACATGTAACTGTAAATGTCCTCATGCCTCATCTTTTAATGTGTCTTTGATGCAACAAGTAATCTCATTTACTGTCTAAATAGGAGTTAGTTCATATTCAGTAAAATGTTAAGCAATTACAGTCAGTGTTTGACTAGTCACCCTAACATCAAATAGTGAAGGATATCATGCACTGCTGTAACTGCTACTGCTTGCCATTCTAGCAATCTATTGAATAACAACTTTGCTGTTTAACTGATTACTCTTTTTATGTAGACAGTTCTGACCAACCCTGTTCATATGGAAAAAGCCTATGCATACAAGTTCCTCCACCCTTGGCTTGGAACTGGCCTTCTTACTAGGTATGTACCACTGCATGATATTAAAAGGCTGTATGTGATGATCAAATAAATAAAATATCATGAAGCTAGCATTAATAAAGAGAAAGACATGAATACAAATAATAAGGCCATAGCTATGTCCCAGAAGCATATTGGAGACTAAGTCTAAGCAGGTTCTGAGTATATGTGTCCACAAAATTATGTACAGTATATACTGGGAGGCAGAGGCAGAGGGTGGTGCTAGAGAAACTGTTTGTAATGTCAAATATAGATTCTGTGGGAGTATATAAGTGTATAAAAAGAACTTGGTAACCTGTCACTTGATTTCTAAATATTTTATATAAGTGGACATTTTGGTCTGAGGGTGGGAAAAGGTCAAGGGGTCACCACAATCAATAAGGTTCATTAACAGGGAATCTAGTTAAATCAGTTTTTAATTTAACCTGAAGGTGGCACGATAAAAAAGTGTTCGGTAAACATCACAACAATCTTTTTATCCGATTTTATTATTCCGATGGAAATGCTAGACTGATTGTGGAGCTATGGTAAAGGTCAGGGGGTCATGAAAAACATTATTACATTCATTCTCTTGTGACCATGAATGTCCACAGCAAATGTCATGTTTTCCACTTTATTATGACCCAAAGTGTTGCAGAAACATTGAAGGGATAATCTTGACCTTAATTTAAGATTTATACAAGAGTATAAACATGGGTCTTGTCTTTCTTTGATGTCTTCTTCTTTTGATCAGCACCGGGCCTAAGTGGCGTCAGCGGAGAAAGATGCTGACTCCCACCTTCCACTTCTCCATCCTGACGGACTTCTTGGAAGTGATGAACGAACAGGCTGAGATTCTGGTGGAGAAACTGGAGAAACAGGCAGGGGAAGGTCAATTCAACTGCTTCAATCACATTACCCTGTGTGCCCTGGACATTATCTGTGGTGAGCATATGTACATTGAACGTGCATGTATGGATGAACCTTTTACCTCCAAATGCACATAACATATGTTAAGTAATCTATTTCTAATAAGACAGATTCCCAGAGCCTTTAATTCGAATGTGAATGTATATTTGAAACAATGTCTTTTCAGAAACTGCAATGGGAAAGAAAATTTATGCCCAGAGTAATTCTGATTCAATATATGTTAAGAGCGTATACAAGTGAGTTATACTTTGAGTCTCACAAATACAGACATAATAAGGGAATATTTATCTGATCATTAATTTCATGTTTTTTTGTCTTTCTCCTGATGTTTTGTCCTTAGAATGAGTGACATTCTAAGCCGCAGGCAGAGGACACCTTGGTTTTGGTCTGACTTTGTGTACAACTACTTTGGTGATGGCCGGGAGCACGACAAGATACTCGAGATCCTACACTCCTTTACGTACAACGTGAGTAAAGGAGCCAGTGGTTTGAAAATCAGTGAATGTTCAGCGTTTATGACATCCGAATTATGGCAACTTTCAACCCTTCACCTTTGTTTTGTCTCAGGTGATACGCGAAAGAGCAGAGAAGATTTCCTATACTGAATCAGAGAGAGACTCTGACCACGGCGCAAAGAAAAGACGTGCATTTCTGGACATGCTCCTGAAGACCACAGATGAGGATGGCAACAGGATGAGCCACCAGGACATTCAGGAGGAAGTGGACACCTTTATGTTTAGGGTGGGTGGTTAGAAATGCAACTCACAACATGAGTAAAAATACTTAAACCTGATCTATTTCTTCTATTTGAAAAATCAATTCATGCTGCTCTAAAGTTGTACATACACGTACAGTTGTACATGTTGTTTTTCTGTATTTAACTGTCCTTGTTGTGCAGGGACATGATACTACAGCAGCCTCCATGAACTGGGCCCTACATCTGCTGGGCTCCCACCCTGAGGTGCACAGCAAAGTTCAACAAGAGCTCCAGGAGGTGTTCGGTAACAGTAACATTCCCCCCCCCCCCCCATCACCGCACACCTTCTCACTTTCATGACATTATGACATCACTTATTTTCCCGCTGAAGGCGTTTTGACTCATCTTTGCTCAGATTCATTTGTTCTTTACAAGTCAAGGGGAGCTTAAACAGGCATAATAGCTGTGAAAATCCTTGCCAAAATACATAGAGAGTAATTGAATTATTTTCACTGCTGTGCTGGATTTACCATGGCCTCCATGCATTTTTCCATGATGTAAGCTAGATGGCCTTGTAATAATAACAGATGCTAAGTTTGCACCAGTTAGAGGATCTAAACTTGTCCTCAAGCATAGACTCAATTTGCACAACCTTACCGCACCTACTTATATAATCAATTTGTTCTAGGAATTTATTTTTCTACATACACATGCACCGTAAAATTAACTGCAGTGTAGACTGCCGACTCTTGAACTTATGTCTTATCAAATAATCACAAAATATCCATGGGGTGTGTCACTTAAACAATACAGTACTATTATATGTATCTCTTATCAATTGTAGAAGGTGGGAAAAGTAGAGAATGTGTCAAGGATACAGAAGTAGGCAAAAGTGCAACTGCAGGACTGTCTCACCTAAGAACTAGTTTATACTCTTATCTATTATCAGAGTTTAACAGTGTTCTTATTAATGTGCAAAGGTACATCTGACCGGCACGTTACTACAGAGGACCTGAAGAAGCTCAAATACCTGGAGTGTACTATCAAGGAGGCCCTGCGACTGTTTCCCTCTGTGCCTTTCTTTGCCCGCAGCATTGGTGAAGACTGCCATATCAGTGAGTTACAGATGAGTGATGACACTTGAACGAAAGATTCATTTGTTGAATGCAAATCCCCCAAGGCAGTGGTATTTTTATACGAGGCCAGCAGAAGACAGGCTTCCTCTGTTATAGTCATTTGTCACATAGCACTTTTTTTGTGTGGTGCTGTTGCAGCCATATCTTTCTCTCTCCCAGTTTCCACATGCAAAATTCAATTTGTGTGGTAAAAGAGTGAATGAAGCTGTACATTAGATGCTTATGTTAATAGTAGTAAATAATAGAAATTAGGTTTCTGGAAATGGAGATTGTGAAGCAAAGACACCTGAAATATCACTCAAACCATAGCAAGTTAGCAACTTTGTCTCTGTTTTATCAGCAAATGGGGAGTCCCTTTTTTTTACCCTTACTGTTTTGAGTCTCACTTTCTTTCTCACGTCATGCAACTACAGCATTAACTTGTGTGGTCAAAAATCCTTCATATTAAAGTAAAATTCCATTTTATTACAACTTCTTTTCATAGTTCTGACTATAATTCCTATCTGTAATAATAACAGCATACTCACTAAGTCAACAGCTGAGTTCCAGGAATATGGTGACATGACTCAGTTCAACAGTCAGATACTCAGACAGGTTGTTTGATCTCATGGCTCTGATTTCCTGCCCACTGGACTTTGTTGTAGAGATGTCACATTTTTTCCAGACCTCATTTAGTGGTTACAATGTTATCTCAATCCTTAGAAATGCTGGCCAAACTACAAAAATAAGACTCTTTTAATCTAGCCTTCCTTTCTTTTGTACCTGAACAGCTCTCATCTGTCTGTCATGATTCATATTGTCTTAAGCTGAGGCAGTGAAATTTGTAATGATTTTGTGTGAAATAAAATATGTTCCGAGATTAGTAAGGACGTGTTTTTTTCCCCTTACAGTACTATGTTTCTTTTGTACCTATAGATGGTTTCAAGGTCCCCAAAGGTGCCAATGCCATTGTCATTACCTACGCTCTCCACCGTGACCCGCGATACTACCCTGAGCCTGAGGAGTTCAGGCCTGAACGCTTTCTGCCTGAGAATTCAGTTGGAAGGCCTCCATACGCATACATCCCCTTCTCCGCTGGACTCCGCAACTGTATCGGTAAGAACAGGACAGTTTCCTTTGTAGTATACTGGATCTGTCTCCATGCATACTTTCCTGAGTTTCCTCAATAATGCTCCTGAATCTGTGCATCACATCCTGAATCACTGCTGTGTGTGTGTGTGTGTTCCACTATAATGCTCTTCAGGTCAGCGTTTTGCACTAATGGAAGAAAAGGTGATCTTGGCGTCCATTTTGCGTAAGTTTAACGTTGAAGCTTGTCAGAAACGTGAAGACCTGCAGCCGTTAGGAGAGCTCATCCTGCGACCAGAGAAGGGCATCTGGATCAAACTGGAAAAGAGGAAACCCCAGACTTCATCAAACTAGCACTGCTGGTCTTTATTTACAGTACATCCTTCCCAATTATAAAGATGGTGGAAGTCGTAATGCTTTCCAAATACTCTTTGAGAGGTCAGGGAGAGTAGTGACCTCGGTGTTTGGATTTTAGAATGTTCTCATCATCATAGACATCATAATTACAAAAAGTAATCCTTATGAAAATAAATTGAGATTGTTTTTTGACATTGTTAGTTTTTAGGGAAATGGCTACACAATGCACTATTTTGGCTCTGTATATCAACAACTCTGCACTATTTTTGTGCCCCAAGAATGTTTTAACACAAAAAAGCACTGTACAAATAAGTGATTTAATTAATTAAAAAAATGTAAAAGTATTAAAATGCTATAAACAGCTAAGCGATGATAGCATTTGGGAATTCAATTAAATTATGAAAATACTGAAAATACTTTTTAAGAAAAAGAACATAATACTGTACATGGAATCATTCATACATCTAAAACGAATTTACTATTAAAACTATTTTATATCCTTAACCACAATTCTAGAGGAAACAAATAATATGGGGGGTGGGGGGGGTTTCAAACCCCTAGCTGCAGTTTGTACGTAGATCATCCGTTTACTGTGTTTCTGTCTTTCTCTTGTCTTGTGTAAGTCAGACTGTTTGTGTAACTGTGGGAGTATGGTGCTGAATAAACAAACATATTCCACAGTATCATATGATCCTCATGCTTTACCTTTTAAATTTTATTGGAAAGCTGCGTTAAGTGACATAAAAGTGAACACAATCCCAAACCCGGACAAATATTGACATATAAAGCTGCTATGGAAAATGTGTTAGCAAACATGCTTTCTTATTGTACACATCCAGCAAAGACAGAACAACATCATCATCCCATTGGAGTTCTCCGAGACACATTGGTAAACTAATACTTACATTCACTTGACTTTTAGAATACAATAGTATTAAGTCTTATTATATATTAACCTGCATCTTGCTGCCATGTCATGCTAAGCATGTTTGCTGGAAAACAGCTTTTTTTTTTTTTTATCTGGGGAAATTGATAAGATTGGTGAGACAAAAGAATGCTGTCTATGTTCAGCAGAAAATAATTAGCTAAAAAGAGGCTAAAATCTCTGTTGAGTTGTCTGGTGTCCATCTTATTCTCTGCTGCACTAATCACCCGTTCACATTTTACAGTCATTTTAGTCACTGTTAAGATAGAAATGTATGTCTTGCAGGGATACTTCATAACACAACACATCTTTCAAACTCCACACCCACAGTTTATAACACAGAACACGAAGCTTATGACCAATCTAAGGTAACCCTAATGACATCACTGTCACATCTCAGGGTTGTTTTTTCTTAGACTTGACAAGGTGCTTTCACATCACATTTACAACTGAGTATTTTGATCAACACATCCTCATACCTAAATGTTAGGTTAAAGTAAGTAATGTATGTAATGTGTGATGTAACATTTAACAAAACTTTAAATAAGTCAATGTTGACTTAGTTTCACACAGGGCTCAAACTCCAGTCCCCTGGGTGAAAGTCCTGTGTGTTTTTCTCACTCTTTATACTATGTCACCTGACTTACTCCTTTGCAACCATCATATGGCCACTATAGGTAGCGGTCTAACAAATGTAAAAATTGGTCCTACATGGCTGTTTTTCTGGAAAGGACAGGCTGATTTTAATCTACATGTGTAACATTGTGTAAACAAGTGTAAAATTCAATGTGTCTGTCAGTGTTTGTTTAAGCAACAAAACTACTCACACTCAAATATGCCTTCAGTACTTTTATAAAGCACTTTTTGGTACAACTCCTGACATCTCATCACCCTGGTGGCTGGAACTCTTAATAAAATACATCCCAGTAATAATGAGCAAAACACTCAGTGAATCATTGAGGTCAGAAGGAGCCATTGTAACAAAGTAGTAATCATAGCATGACACAGTTACAAATGACCCCATCCATAATGTCATAAGATGATTTAGCTGGCATGCCTGCAACGGTCATTGCCTAACACCAAAATGACATGAGTGATGATGAATTGCAAGCTCTTTTCCGATGCTATAATTTGAATTATTGAGCACATCTCTAGTCAGTGGCTGGATAGAGCTGAAGTGTCTGAGCTCCAAATGAAGCAGGAAGAGTTCATTTATCTGAGGATCTCTAATAAATGGCTCAGATAAAGCAGTCTTTGCTCAGGCTTAGTGGCTACAGAGTGCATGAGAAACATTTTCCAGACATTATGCATCTGTTTAGTTTCCAATGACAAAACATTCATTTTACTTTGTAGTATAAGTTTTAAGTACTTTCATAGTGAGCCAAAGATATTTAAACAATGCTATAAAACATTATGTCAATGGTGGCTGAAAGTTTTTCCTGTATCTACTTCTGTTATAGAAAATATGTAATGATGAATGTCATTTTGTTATTTTTCTTGTGTGCATGGTGAGTAAAGATTTCCTCTTTACTTGCCATGCCATTTTAGATGGTCAAATCTTTGTTTTGTTGAACATTTTTTAAAAGAAAAAATACTACTTCAAATGGAAAAAAGCTTGCACAGGACTCACCCATTAGTCTGCTCAAGGTCACTCAACTCCTCCATCCTTGGTGTTTTTATTTTACTGTGCATTGCAGTTATGTAATCATTTTCAATAACATTTCAGTTACTTGCAGCACCAACTGTAAGCTACATGTGTACTGTAGTATCAGTTCTACAGTTAGAGGAAGACAGATTACTAATTCATGTAGAGACGTGTTTGACATGGTACAAGGCATTAAGTAGATAATTTGCGATTTTGACACTATCATCAGTGCAGATTTAGCAGTTGGCAGGATTGCCAAGGAAGGTTTGCAAAGCACCCTGTTGAAAGTGTGAGTGCAGTTTCAGTTTCCAAAACAGATACTGTATGAACCAAAGAAGTATTGGTTCAGAACCTGGGGATCAGAATCAGAAGATAAATCTGATCAGTCATGAGATTATTAACAGGATAGGACAGAATTATTATTATTTTTTTTTATTTGTGTGTAATCTTGCTGTGTTTTGGTGGAATCTTTGACAGTTGTACCTCTTCAGCTATATTATCATTATTCAAGTTTGAGAAGGAAAATTCACCTATTTTATTTTATAGCTTTTAAAATGAGCAACCCTCTCACCCCCAGATCATTTTGAAAAGGCCTTTCTGTAAAACATCCTGGCCATATTGAGAGGAGCAGATTAACTAAGTATACCAGGAGGGGTGAGTATAATCAGATACAGGTGATTCACATTAGACAACACATAGACAGGAAGTCTATGAAGATTCTCAGTCATCCAGGTCATAGTTATCCAACAAAGGTAAAAAAAAAATAACATAGACAGGAACAACAGCACCAGGGACAGAACAACATTAAAGTAAAACAGGGACCATAAAACACAAACACCCACACCACAGAACAGTGACATATATTTTTCCATGAGTAATCTATTAATTTAAAAAAATATTATGTGATTGTTTCTCTGCAAAATGGTATAAAAGCTCTTTTCTAAGATTATTCATTACACTTCTAAGGACCAATTCTGCTATTTGTTAAATTGTTCAATTTATTGATGCATTTATCAAGTCCAAAACAGGTTGGTATGTGCCTCTTCAAATTTATAACTTTTAATTTTAAGAATGTGAATTGCACTTCAGGGTCATATCCCCAGGAAACAAACACTGAGGCCATGACCTCTGTGTAGTTGCAGCTCTGCACTTACACAATCTGTGTTCAGTTTTGAGGAGTTACAAGCCAAAAAGTTTTTGAACCACGGCACTGGATTGAGCAACAATAAGACCTCAAACTTTTTGCAATTTTAACAGGGAAAGATTTCTGTCATTATAGTGTTACCCATATACCAAACACTTGGAAATATTCTGTGTTGTACTCATTTAAGATGGTCCACCATACACATGTGGAACAATGTGAAATAACAATAAAAACATGAAAGGCTTCAATCAGACTTTAATGTCAGCGAGTTTCATCTGAGACACACACGCCCTTGGGCTCTGTGATGAAATTTAATGAAATCACTTTGAGGGGCAAAATGAGGATAGATTTCCCATTTCACTTTCAAGATGGAAATTTAACACACAATATGTTCTTGATATTCAAGTACGTAGCAGTGGATTATAAAATGACCATCATGAAACTGCCCTGCTTTTAAAAAAGGTGTAATTCAAATTGATGTCCAGAGAGAGGCAGCAGTGTATGCTTTTCTAGAAGTGTAGGAGGAGAGGATAAGCACGAGTTCTGTGTGTGTGTGTGTGTTTGTGTGTGTGTGTGTGTGTGTGTGTGTGTGTGTGTGTGTGTGTGTGTGTGTGTGTGTGTGTGTGTGTGTGAGGGGGATGGAAGAACAGCACAAACAGCAGAATCTATCTACATTTTTTTTTTTGTCTCAGTGCCCGGTAGCTTCATGTTGATGTGAGTGACAGCTGTATTCAGCATGTGTACAGTTTATAGCCTGTG